CAAAACACTTAACTTTGATTCCTAAGTGATTTTCATGTGTACTTGAATAAAACAAATTCTCAGAGAGTTATTATCTTGGTGCAATGTCTGGATTTAAATGCTACTTTCTCGACTGCTTTGAAAATAATAACAACTGTCTGCTTGTATGGATTTCAAAGTGGATAATGAGGACTGATTATCCATCTTTAGAATTCAAATGACCAACTTGAAGTACACCGTGATGTAAACCAGTTATAACAATGAACATCCCTCCTGTTGAAACCATACAACCACGTCTTTCTCTAAACTGTTATTCATTCATTTTGATTCATCCAATTATGGTCGCATCATAATTACTGTGATGTAATGTCAGATAAGCAAACAATATTTTGCGATGTTCGTGAATAACATTTCTCAGAAAAGTTGAGTTTAAGCGTTCAACAAGTTTGCCAACCAAATAATCATTTATATCATTAATTTCATTCTTTAAGTATCATACTTTAATGTGACACTGTTTCACAAATTCTTAAACCTTGAGCAGAGCCTAGATAAATGTACAGAATCTGTTAGCTGGCAGCTCCTCATATGCCGGAGTGATCTACGTTTAAAAAAAAAGTCTGCGTAATTACCCTAAAAAATGGTAAGATGGCATCTTTGAAAGAGTCGGGGTGAGTGTGAAGTACACTTTTGTGGGCATAATACAGAGCGTCATTGGAGCGAGCGAGTATAAAAGCATAAATTCAAGTACAAAGTACCTTCAGCTAGGCCGTCTCGTCCCAAATTTATTTATTTGAATAATTATCTCTTAAACCAAAGAGAAAAAAACGAGAAAGAAATAAGGATGGAAAAATAAATCTTATAAACAGTCATTTATGACATGTAATTCTACATATATTAATAATTCATAAAATAATGTGTAGCAAAAAAAAAATCAATTATAACTCATTGCCAAACAAAATACAATCAAGAGAGAAAGAAACATATTGTAGTCTTATTTTGCAGACATTTTTACACAGAACAACTGACACGGGGTTGTGCCTGAAAGCTAGCAAATATCAACACTGGACAACTACCCATAACAGACCACACCAGGGAATCGTTACACAAAGCCTTTTTTCAATGACAAATGACAAAAATCAGTGACAAATCTGTTGATAACCAATCAGAAGCAAGGATTTCAGTAGCTTATATAAAAAACTGTCACTTGTCACTGATGACAAGTTTTGTAAAACACCCCCCCCCCCCCCGACAACTAACCCCGCACAGCTATCATCTAGGACAACTTCCTTAGGACTAACACAGTGGGGAAAACGCCTCGGACAAACTACGACAAACCCTCTCATCGGACAATTATCAGCTGGGGGTAACCTGTCTGGGTAGGACTAGATGCACTATCCGTGGATAGTATTTAAGATAGCGACAATTAATAGCTCCGGACTTTATTCGTCAGAGAATAGGGTTAGTGTTACAATGGGGTTATGGTTAGGCTATAATACAGTATAGGATTTGGTCTAGGGTTGAAGTTAAGGGCATGGACCACGGGGATTGGATGTGTGTGTGTGCGTGTGTGTGTGTGCGTGGGTGAGTGTGTGCGTTGAGTGTGCGTGTGTGAGTGTGTGTGCGTGCGTGGGTGTATGTGAGCGCGCGTGTGTGTGTGTGTGCGTGTGCGTGTGCGTGTGCGTGAGTGCGTGGGTGCGTGAGTGCAGTGCGCGCGCGTGTGTATCCTAAAATGATATGATATTTCATCGAGCTCTTCAACCCCTCTCATCCATACTCTCTTCTTCTCCTTCTCTTCGCTCAACCGTCCACATTTTTCTTGTAATTTTCTTTCCTCAAAAGTAAAATGAACTAGGGAAAAAACAAAAGATCTCAGATATTTACTCAGTGCAATGATAAAAAAATGCAGATGTTGTGTTGATGCAAGAAACATACATTACTGCTGATATAGAAGATACTTGGCAATTAATGTGGAATGGAAGGCGTTGTTCTAGTCATGGTACTTGACATAGTAAAGGTGTTCTCGTCTTGATAAACTCACATTAAGATTTGGAGATTCTTTCTATAATTACAGATCGAAATGGGAAATACATTATAATCAAACCTTTTTTTTACTGGGTTAAGAATAATAATTGAAAATGTATATTTTCCAGTAAGGGGAAAAGTGTTACAAAGGTTAAAGATTTTTGCATGAATTTGAAAGAGATTTTGATAAATTGGGAAGGGGAAGTGGTTTAATTATGCTAGGAGATTTTTAGTATATATAAAAGATTATGAATTCTGCCCAAGTCACATCCCCAAACTGACTAAAAAAACTGACTCCGGCCATCCCGACTCCCATCGCGACCGATTCTAGGCCTTTCGATGTCACGCATGTAGTGTCTTGTCAGTCTGGTGTCATTATGACCTGATTATTAGCCATGGTTTCCAATCTTTTTATCTTTCTTAAAACAAAAGACACAAGGGAACAATAAGAATGAAGACAAGTAATGGAGAAAAGGGATATGAAAAACGGGAAATGAAAAGGAACAAAAATAAAGGGGGTGAATAAAAATTATTGACTAAAATAGGCAAATGGACAAGGTTATGAGAAAACCACGTCGCCTGAGATAGTTAATTAAATGCTAATATTGGTACATTAATATTTAATTGTGACACAAGGTGTTATGAACTGCTTGAGGCCTTCCGTTAAACCGTGGGCGTAGAGATCGGACGCAGAGGTGACAAAATATCAAGATTTGATTCGAAGAACGGAAGTCATTCAGAAGGTTCGTTGCGTCGTCAGCTGATACTTTAATTGCTCTTCGTTCTTCTTCTGTCAAAGAATAATGAGACGAGACGCTTATGGGTATCCTCGCACATTTCACACTGTTTAATATTGTGTTTCAAATTAGCATAATGGCGAATGAGAAACTGTATGGAAAGCTAAGTTTCTGTAAACATACAAATCATCAGGTTTTGATAATGCTGTCTTCTGAGACGATTTATATTAAAATATTAATCTCAAAGAAAAGTGAAAAGAAAAATGTCTATGAAGAAAAGATACATCCGATTATCTCCGGGTGTCTGTTCGTTCTATTTCTAAGGGGTTCATTATTTTGGTGTCACTATTTTCTCTTTTTTATTCATTTATTTTGTATAAGTTTTTTGAAGGCGATCTATTTAAGTGGGAAATTCATGGATTAAAAGAAACCTCACCCCAAGAAATAATTAAAGTTATTCTGAGAGATTTGTTGTATTCTTGTTAATTAATACACGAGATTCCCTGCTAAAGTGTATGAGAGAGGTGAAGAGCAAGAATAATGTACCGCTTCTTGGCGCGACATGGGCATCTCCATTTTCTTGATAACATGACGTACTAAGCGAAGCCGTTCATCATAAAATGTATTCAAAATTATGAATGCTTTCTTCCCAGGTGTGTGTCGTGAAATATGAAGTATTTCATTCACCTGCTATAATCCTTTGTACTACAATTGTCAGAACGCAAATTACATAAATAAGTTGGTGCTCTTCTGGGTTGAATGAGAAAGATTATACAACTTTTATCTTTAGTAACTTTAAAGAAATGAATTTCAATTCTTCCCCTGATATACATTTTTCACCAAATATTCTTTTAATCCTCTCAGCTATGATTTTCCCTCATTGAAAAGAAATTGTTTAATTATTGATTTAAAACGTCTTTCCAGCTAAAGCTTGATACATATACAAATTTGTCCGGTACGTTACATTATTAAGAAAATGGCTGCGCCCATGTCATGTTAAAAGGCATTACATCATGCCAAGAACATGGCAATGACATGTAACATTATCTGAACATGACAATGACATGTTACGTCATCTGAACATGACAATGACATGTTACGTCATCTAGCTGAACATGACAACGACATGTCACGTCATCTGAAAATGGCAATGACATGTCGCGTCATCTGAACATGACAGTGACATGTCACGTCATCTGAACATGAAATGACATGTTACGTCATCTGAACATGACAGTGATATGTCACGTCATCTGAACATGACAGTGACATGTCACGTCATCTGAACATGAAAAGACATGTTACGTCATCTGAACATGACAGTGACATGTTACGTCATCAGAACATGATAATGACATCTTACATCATCTGAAAATGACAATGACATGTTACGTCATCTGAAAATGACAATGACATGTTACGTCATCTAAACATGATCTCAATGCTCTCAGTTGATTTCTTGAAAGTCTTTGCGATTTAATTTTTCCGGAATTTTGCCATGTTTTTTTAAATACAAGTCATTATCAACTGAATAGGATTATCATTGAATCAAATTAAATCGAATAATCATTAAACATCAAGATTTCCTACCAATAACTACGAAATAACTTACATTTTAACTGTAAGGCAAAAGAGCACTCTAAGCTACTAATCGACAAACTTTTTCTCTCACTCACTCACTTTTTTGCTACTCCGTCTGAACTTCCTCTTTCCTCGAATATTGTTTCTCCTTTTACAATTTCACTCTTTCTCTCTCTCTCTCTCTCTCTCTCTCCCTCCCTCTCTTTCTCTATTTCTCCCTCTTCCTCTCCTCTTTTCTCTCTCTCTCTCTCTCTCTTTCTTTCTCCCTCTCTGTCGTTTTTTTTCTTTCTCTTGCTCACTATTCCCCTCTCTCTCTCTCCCCCTTTTTTAAAAATTTGTATTATTTTTCTATCTCCATCTTTCTTTCTTTTTCTCTCTCTCCCTCTCTCTCAAACACTCTTACTCTCACACTCTCTCTCTCTATTTGCTACCCCATCTGACCTTTCTCTTTCCTATAATCTTGTAGTGTTCTCTTTTCTCATTTGACCAGCTTCTTTAGGAGAAAAGAAGGGCGTGTTTTATAAGAAGTTCGCTGCTGCTGAAACCTCATCAATACGTCATACACAAGTGTTTCAACTAATCCCTAGATTGAAATCATAGCATTGGTCAAGACGGGTCGTCTGAAGGAGAGAGAGAGAGAGAGAGAGAGAGAGCTCTCGGTGAATGGATGAGTCGAGAGGGGGTGTTCCTTACACCATTCCGTCATCGTTCCGCTACTAGAATCGGCTAAACTTCTTTTTGTTCGTCTTGGTTAATTCTTCTGCATACCACGTGCTGATATATCCTTTTGAATGGCATCTTCAATTCTTAGAATGGTTGGTAAGGATATAAAAGGAGCGTGTTTGAATAGTAGCTGGCCACTTATTGACCATATGATCGCTCAGAAAGATACCACGTGTCTTCATTCATTCTCAAGCATCTCATACCTCGATATCTTCCTGCGTTACTACGAAAAAAAAAATTTCTTGGGGTTTTTTGCCGATGTTTATTGTGGTTTTAGGATTGCTCTGCCAAATCCTGCCTGAATCTTGCCTGAGTTTTACCAATTCTCCATTTTCGCCTGTCTACATAATAATTGGTAAGTTAAAATGTATTTATTTTACCAGGAATTCATTAGTGTCATAATGTGTGATACCTTCAATTTAGTGCATTCACAATACAATCAAGCACAACTATTTATGGGGTTTTCAGTCAATTTGATTGCTTTTCTTATGTTTTTCTTCAGCTACTCATGCACCTGTTATTTCACGTGATTTTTTTCTAATTTCAATAAATTAAAATTGGTAAAACATTGTATTAAACGTCCCGCTTTTAAGGTGCTGGTACAGAGCTGTTATAGTGAGCGAGTGAAAAATAATTAAGCATCGGGGTTTTTCTGAGATTTCTTTCGTGAAAGTAAATGATTTATATTTCCCCTAATACGATCATGATTTTCCTGAGCGGTGCGCGCTTCGTGAAAAGAAAACCGGAAGTAACCCGAAATAAAGGCAGGGGCAATTGCCGCAATAGCAATTAACGCTAAGACATCATTCAAGGTCAAGCCTTACATGAATGTTAAAGATGGTTTGTCCATTTTGCAGATCTAAAAACCTGAGATTTCATAAATACAGTGGATTATTGAAGAGATCCATTAGTATGACCTTTCTACAGAATGAAAACAAAAATAGAAACAGACTATCAACGAATAAGTTCAAATGTTTAATTCGAAAATACTCGTACGTAATTTGAAACTAATTCGACCGTTATATCAGTTGAAATTGAGAATAGCTCCTCTGCGGCAAAATGAAATCAGCGCTAGATTTTCATTTTTGATAAAGATGTTTCATAACCTCTGACTGTAAAATTTAACTCACGATATATCTTAAACACTTCCCAGGTTTCATAGAGTTTGGAAAAGTCTTCAAAAGGGACTTGCTGCCTTGAAAACTCTTGTATTATATGTCGTGTGCATGTCCTTCTGTCGCATTGCAAACCAAATTGCCCCATTGCATATAAAGGACTCTACCAACTTATTTGTCTCGTTCAAATTCCCGTGTCTCAAACAGGGGCATTTCCAGAAACTTCAGAACCTTGTTAAATCCTTGTCTGAAACTCCCTCTCGTTCAAAATGACACAGGAATGTTCCTGTGCATCGGTTTCACGATACCTTTTCAAAGTACAAGTTCGCTAACAACCATTAACATGTGCGCTTTAAATTTAACACCTGTTTCAAAGAGATGTCGGTGAAATTGTACTTATGACCAAATGTGGTTTAATCGTGTGCGTGAGTAAAGGAAGGTTAGATTTCACTTCCAATTGAAAGCTGACTCTGTCACGTCATACGTGATAGCAATATTAGCACCCTATTTCGCCGGTATATCAAATTAAATATCATTTGTTCTTGATCTTTCAAAATGATTTTTATGAAATAGAGATAAAGTGTAGTTTATCTTCATTCAAATTAAAACTTATAATGAAACAGATCAAACAATCAAATAATTACTATGAAAGCGGTAAAGTAGTCTTTAATAATTTTTTAAAACGAACTGATCACACTGTAGACGAAAATGTGCAGATTATTACGATTAAGGGCAAACATTAGAGGAAAACAAATGTTCTTTCCTTTTCATTGTCTACCCATCCCTATTAGTATACTGTTTATCCGATTATCAGATTAGAAATGAAAATACAGACTTTATTCAGATAATGTATTTGTTAGATGAGATAACGACGGGTCGTTCTTTGTTTGGCTTTGAAATCAATACCGTATACAATGAATGCACTTACCGTGAAGCCCCCAAATAGCTGTAATTATCAGCTTGACCGACATAAAGAAGTAATCCAGTGATTGACTCTAGATAACAGCAAATATTTCCGCCCACCGCAATGGATGACAAACCTCAAGTTCATAATTTATTTCTTCTTTTTACTCCTTTAACAAGAACACTTCTGGTTACGTAAATTCAGATGCTGATACCGCATATCCTCCTTTGTGTTCCTGAAATTAAATAAAGTTAAAATTAATATAAAAAGAAAAGAAAAGTAAATCAACTGCGTTAAACAGAGAGAGAGAGAGTGAGAGAGAGAGAGAAAGAAATAGAAGGAGATAGGGTAATAAATAAATAGGGAGTGTGCAAATATACGAAGAGAGAGAGAGAAAGAGAGGGAGAGAAAGAAAAATAAAGGAAATGAAACGTGAGCATACTACACATTACAAGGATTAGAGGGATATGAAGAAAAAGAAAAACAAGAGAGGAGTTTAATGCTTTAGCGAGAGAGCGATGGGCAGAGATGATTGAGGAACATAGAAGAAGAGGAAGGGAAGAAGTTGAGAGGTTGAAAGAGGGGAGGGACGAGAAGAGAGAGAGAGAGAGAGAGAGAGAGAGAGAGAAAGAGAAAGAGAGAGAAAGAGATAGCAAGAGAGAGACACACACATAAAGGATGCGAGGAATAGAGATAGCCGGAGGAGCCCAAATTCAATCGTTTATATACAATGCTTTATTTCTTTCTTTTAATTTTTTTTTTTTTTTTTTTTGGGGGGGGGGAGGGGTTCGGTGACAGTATGTATGGAGAGAAAAAAAATGATTACTCTTGAAATTGGATTATGAAACTTATTTTGTCTTCTACTTCTTGTTCCTCTCCACTTTTAGTGCCGATATGATGTCTTTGAGATCCTTGGTCGGGGTCCCTGTCAGCTACCTGACCGTTGTCGGTGTGGTATGTTGTCTCGGTATTCAGCACACACAAGGAGCCTCCATCGTAGAAAAACTACACAGCAGCAGATCGAGAACGAAACGGCAGTCGACACTGCCGGGCGACAGATGCAAATTAGACAAGGGGATTCATAGACAACTGACAGAGATAGAAACAGATATACAGATGATCTTCATTCGTTATGTAAGTGATGTCTAAATCTTCTATTACTGCCATGAAGTCCTTCTTATCCTTGTCCACTGATTCATATGATTGTTATGTGAAATCCCCTCCCCCTCCCCACCCACCAATTTTAAGACTCTTAAGATTAATGTATAAACTAGATGAACCTTAAGTTGACGTAATGATCGATTTTCAAGACTGCTAATGAGTGTGGTGTTATTGAATCGGAGTACTTGACCATAATGGGACTTAAAAGATAATAAGGCAATCATGAAGTGGAAAGTGGATTCATTTCAGAATTCAATCAAGTCTGAGTACAATTTGTCATTTTATAGTGCATGGTGCATGACGTAATCATTTCTATCAGATTTAGTTGATTTTATAAGAATTTTCCAACTTGCTGACGCATTTGGAGACGTCAAATTAATGAAGGAGTTACACAAGAAAAAAATCAGTAGCTCTGTTACATCTTTTGACTATGAATTTCACCTTCACGCAACAAATGGATGAGAATTTAGGCCTTCAGACTTGAAAGCATCCAAATTTGCAGATCTTTAAAAAATACAGATAAAAAAAAAACACTATTTCCTCCAAGTACCCTTTTTTGACTAATGTATCCGTTTTACCAATGGTTTATTACGTATGTATCATAATTTTATTGAAATTCTTCTAACACGAGCTATGCAAATTATTCTTCTCATTTGCAGGTTTTTGATGCACCCGGAGCAGAATTATTAGAAAGCCGTACATGTTTCCCCCCATTACATGTAAGTATTTTAACGCTTTCACTGGGAAATAAAGAAGTTTTGGGTTTAAGCTTTTATCAAATAATTTCTTAATCAAAATTTTTCATTTTTTCATTTTCATCGCTTTGTAAAGAAACAAAATGTTATTTGCTTCCCTTTTGTTGTCTCTTTAATAAGATACTTACGGGAGAATTTGAAAGTCTTTTTTTTTTCGGAAGTTACCCAACAGCTAAAGACCTCATTAATTTGTAATGCTGACGTATACAGAAACGGTTTATGTTTTGGGGGGTATTATTGTTATTAGGCATTTAGCTACGCTATTCATATAGTAAACAAATATACCATGCACTGAGAGGCTCTAGTTGAAATTATGGATCGAGGTGGCAGGAATAGCACTATTTTCCGTCGCCAAGGGATCCATAATTTCACTTGTGGCTTGAAATATATTTGTTTTATATTCTTCAAACCAACCTTCATAATAATAATAATAATAATAATAATAATAATAATAATAATAATAATAATAATAATAATAATAATAATAATAATAATGTATACTGTCACTGAAGTAGTGTAGAGAGTAGTGAGAGCAGCGCAGACGACCGTACCGCGACCGGGCCGACACCGATATCACATTGATCTTGATCGATCGCATATCTATGACGTCATCCATGGTATAGTCCTATGGTATAGTAAAACTATACCATGGATGACGTCACTGTATAGCACATTTTTCTTATCGGTAACATCATAGCAATATTATGTTTGGTGACATGATGCTATGTTGATCAATCACTGAACAGGATTTCATTGATAAAAATGTAATTGACTATATCACAGCGCTTACGATAATATGCAACATAACAATTTAACAACAAATCATATCATAACATTGAACAAACAAAATAATAGCGAATCAAGTAGGAAATACGTACGCGTTAAGGAGTTTTTTTAAACATCCTCTGATGTAGCAGCTTTTATACTGGAAGGAAGTTTATTCCACTTCTTAGCTGCTGCAACAGTGAATGTGCGATCGTAGAGCTTTCGATTGGCTAGCTACAGAGAAATCTATAGATACTGGGGCAGCATTACGGGGGGGGGGGGGGGGGGAGGGGGTGGGTCGGGGATCTGTGATAGTAATACATACTGTTGCGCTGCCCCTGATGTGCTTTTTTAATATATGAACTTGTTTGCCTTTCTTTTGATCTTTCAAGTTGATTGATATTCTTTCTTTCCTTCTAACCAGTCATCAGGTCACAACGGCCAGTGGATTGCAGCACGTGTAGAGCAGATTCGTCAGTTCATGCCGTGGTATCGAGAGATAGAGAGTCATGTAAATCAACCTGATTCAGTTCTTCAAGCGGGATTCTATCCAGCTTTCTCAGGTCTTGTCAATTTGATCAATTCTACGATAGATCGTCTAGAACAAAGGGTAAGCTCTTCTTTTTATTCTTCTTCATCATGTTCTCCTTCTCAATCTTCTTCTTCTTCATCTCTTCTTCATCATCTTCTTCTTCTCAATCTTCTTCTTCTTCATCTCTACTTCATCATCTTCTTCTTCATCATCTTCTCATTCTCAATCTTCTTCTTCTTCATCTCTTCTTCATCATCTTCTTCTTCTCAATCTTCTTCTTATTCATCTCTTCTTCATCATCTTCTTCTTCATCATCTTCTCCTTCTCAATCTTCTTCTTCTTCATCTCTTCTTCACCATCTTCTTCTCCTTTATCTGATTCTTTTCACCTTCTTCACCTCGTTCTTTTTATTTTCTTTCCGTCACATGCAAGTTTTGTTTCTCTATAATTATTCTCTCTTCTGTTTTTTCAATCCTTATATGATGCTTGTCGGAATTTTCTCTTGTTTGCCCTGTATATACGCTTCATCTAAGGCATGCAACATTGGATTCTATCAGATGTGTTTCTTTTGTGTCACATTGATCCCTCCTTTTATTTTAAGTACATTAACATTGCTTTCACAATATTAATTTCACCTTCAAATAATCCCGATTAAAAGATTAATAGATACCGGCTCACTTCCAATATTGACCATTTAGACTTCATTTCCAATGTATAGGTACAACCGTAAGTCTTTGGTACGTCAGTGTACTCATTATGACTCATGATGTCACCGACACAAATCTCTTCATTTTGTAAATTCAAATTAATTTAATATTTGTATTTATCTATATTTCTCTATCATTGACAGGTGGAAACTCTGAAAAACCGCACAATCTGCGCATGTCCGGAGAGTGTATTAGATCCCTCTCCAGTGTTAACATCAAGTTGTCATGTAAGTGTTATATCTTCTTTTACACCAAACAAAATATGTAAAGGAAACTATTAATTTAAAGCAACTGGGATATTCGGTTTTAAGGCAATGATGCAGATAACGTATACAACAAACCATTGATTCACTAGATTTTGCAGGCTGCAGTAGAAATTAGGCAGATTCAAATACAAGGTATCGTACAATCAATTCTCTGCATCGCCAGTGTTTATGAACATTGAGAAGAAAAATACAAGACATGAGATTTTCATGAATATGGTGATTTTGTTACATTTTATTTATTTATTTCGAATGTGATATGATCTAGAAATAGCGTTTTATTCAAGGCTTAGGAGGATGTACGCAATTCCTCGGCAAACATTTATCTCGGTCTTAATTATTTTTAGCTTAATTTGAAAGGTTTCAGATATTCAAAGGAAATCTGCCGAATGTTTGCATGTTAAATGTTGAAGAAAACAAATGACACGATACTATTTATTTTATTTTCATGTTTTAGGTGGTGCCCCCACCCGATGTTATACCCCCCGAGTCTTTGCGAGCTCACGTCGCTAGTGTGATTAGGCTACTCCTTCAAATTATTAACGATCTTCACTCGAGACGGGTACGAGTAACTATATGCAGAAATATTCCATTGTGATGACGTAAGCATTCCAACTAGCCAATCACCGACTTCTGTTCAGTTCATTAACTTGTAATGGTATATCATTATTTATTAGCCAATTATCCTACAGAACTATCACCGCTAAGCCTATATGTCTACGCTCGTGTAAACTATCTCTCTATTTTTATTCTTTACAATCTATTACACTTTATTACCTCCAATATTTGGAGGAATTTGTTATTTATATTAATATTTATATGATTCCTTTTCACATTATTTATATATACGTATATACTTAAGACAAGTTTATGTCCATATTATAACTTATTCACACACATTAAAGAGTGTTCTATTTAAAATTGTGATACGTCTTTATATGTTTGGTCTATATGTGTTTGTATTCATCGTGTCTTAATTTAAGTAAGATATTTTAAAAATGTGTCTGTGTGTGTTTTAATTCGTATAAGTTTAAAAACGTTTTCATAACTTGATAATAGTTTGAACTTTGATAAGATTAAACTTGTAATAAATTAGATTGTTGTCGAACATTACACATATATAAAGCAAAAACTTTGTAACGTTTTGCATGTTACAATATAGAGAAAGTAGTGATATGTTGATGAATTGTGGATGTACAGGACTGTTACAGGCCTATTATTTGATATATGATATTAACAAATAGCCACATTAGATTTGAAAAAGTGAAACATTTAACTAACGGGTTTTTCTCAAACATTTCGATCCTGCCGAGAAAAGGAATGACTTTATATTTAAACAATTATATTCAACGTAATTGTTTGAAACCATCCTCGAAATAAACTGCGACTCTTCGAATAAAAATCAACATAACTGAATCTTCAAAATGAATTAACGGGAATTTTTTTAAATAGTTAATAATAATAATAATAATTATAAGAATACATTTGTTATAATGATAATAATATGGGGTTCTTGTATTGAGTTCCTGTCTGTCAGACTTGATACCATCCATACGCTCCCTGGCTTTATCATGACTGTCACCTTTACGCAATGATCCATGTAATGGTATCATATCAGTGAAGAAGACGACATTCTTGTCTATTCATAATCGTATGTTGTTGTGTTGTTCGTTTGGGACACGTGCAATTTGAAGTGTATTTTACTAGAGCATTATTTTTTCTCGCACGATCTATTGGAAGCTGGAAAACAATAATGACAGATTAATATATTGATAATAAAGTCACTTATTTTGTGCTTAAACAATTTCCTTCACGGCGAGCATTATTTGGTTGCGTCTCCGTACTCAAAAGAGTCTCATCGTTGAAATAAGAATTGAAGATGAGAATGAGAGAGAGAGAGAGAGAGAGCGAATGGCGGAGGGGGGAGGAGATAGAATAAGAAGTTCAAATGGCGGGCGAGAAGATAAAATGAAAATAGGAAAGAAGAAAAGAGAGAGAGAGAGAGGTGGGGGGGGGGAGAGAGAGAGAGAGAGAGAGATGGAGAGGGGCAGGGGGGGGGGGATAGAGGTGGAGGGGGGGTAGGTGAAACAACAAAAAGTTAATTAATTCGCCCAAAATGTGAACCTGTGGTTTCAATCTCATGTTTATGATGTGTCATGAAATCGCTTTAAAATTGAGACAATACAAAATCAAGAACAAATGACACCAGAGACAACAGAGATGTTTATTATTAAACAAAGTAATAAATAGGGCAAATGAAAGGAAAGTCACAGAGAAGAAGTAGAATAAAATATCCAGCTGACCTAGGTATAGAGTGCGCGAGGTTGTAGACAGGTGTGTGACATGCGTGTAAGCAGGGGCGTCGCTAGACTTTTTTAAGCGGGGGGGGGGGGGGTGTAGAGGCCAACGATTACCGACAAAACTAGCCACCAATTACCGACAAAATTTAATGTCCCAATATCTACAAATTTAACCCTATAAACCTGGGGCCGAAGGCTAAATTGTTTTTCCTATGGACTATCTATAGTACTTGCGTATGCGCAAATGGTCACTTTCCTCGACGACATAAATATACGAATTATTTCGTCAACTTAGTCAGCATCATAGCTATATACTATATTTTAATGCAGGCGCGGAGCTAGGATCTTATTTTAGGGAGGGGCGGAAGTGAGCAAGCAAATCACTTAAAGAGCGCGTGAAGCGCGCTCATTAGGGGGTGTGGGTGATAGGCCTCCCGCGTGAAGCGCGGAAGCTTAGACGTTTCCTTAAATTATTAGAAAAAGAAGACGATTTATTGTACCGTTCTCGACTGTTAATCCTTGTCTGAATGAATTCCCACCCCCCCCTCTCCCGCGCGAAGCTCGAAAGATTTGACGTTTCATTAAACTATTATAAAAAGAATACGATTTGCTGTACCGTTCTCGACTGTTAATCTTTGTCTGAATTCAGTTTCTTCCCCCCTCTCGCGCAAAGCGCGGAAGCTTTGAAGTTTTATTAAATTATGAGAAAAAGCAGACGATTTGGTGCACTGTTCTCGCCTCTTAATCCTTATCTGAATTCAGTTTTCCCCCTCCCGCGCGAAGCGCGGAAGTTTTGACGCTTTACTAAATTATTAGAGAAAGTAGACGATTTGTTGAACCGTGCTTGACTCTTAATAAGCCCTTATTTTCTAAATTCAGTTTCCCCCTTTAGCGTGAAGTGCGGAAGCTTTGACGTTTCCTTAAATTATTAGAGAAAGAAGACGATACGTTGTACCGTTCTCGACTCGTCTAAATGAAGTTTTCCCCTTCCGCGCGAAGCGTGGGATTTTTGGCGTTTCATCACATAAAGGAAGACGATTCGTCGTACCGTTTTCGACTCTTAAAAAGCCCTATTTGTCTGAATTCAGTTTTCCCCTCTCCCGCGAAGCACGGAAGCTTAGACTTTTCCTTAAATTATTAGAGAAAGAAGACGATTTTTCGGCGTTTCATCACAATATAGAGAAAGGAAGTCTCTTACCTGTCTTACCCTTTATTTTGTTCATTCCTATATTGTTACATACATGTCTGTTGTTAAGCATCTTTCTATTTTGTTAATTGTTCATTGTATATGTTAATTAAGCGCTTTGTATCTACTTGTAGAAAAGGCGCTATACTAATGTTCATTATTATTATTATTATTATTATTTCTTTAGCTGATATTATAGGAAAATGAAACTTCGAGAAAATACAAGTATTGTAGTTGTAGTCACTCTCGAAGTCGTCACAGCGGATAAAAAGTCACAGTTCGTAGGGAAAAGAACTTGTCGGCCGACCGACAATATACATCTCACCGACTTCAATCTTTTGCATTGGTATAGTACACGAGGATCGAGCAAGAATACCGACACAGCTGACCCGACACAGCAACATATTTACCCGCGTCTTTCTAGCTCCCTCGACGAGACGACTCCACCCAACAACTCCCCTCTCTCTTTTACTCCCACTCTTCCTTTCTCAGGCTCTTACCTCCCCTCTCTCCGCTCTTTCACCCCCTGTTTCTTTTGTTTCCCTTTTACTCTTTTTTCTTCTTTTTTTCCTTTTCTTTCTTTTTTTCTTTTCCTTTCTTTCCTCTCCTCCCTCTTTTTCTTTTTTCTCTTTGTTTCTTCTCTTTTCTTTCCTTTCTTTCCTTTCTTTTCCTTTCTTATCCTTTCTTTCTTTTCTTTTTCTTTTCTTTTCTTTCCCTTTCCCTCTCTTTTTTCCCTCCCCCTTTTTCTCTTTTTTCCCCGACGGCAGCGCAATTTTACCGACAATATCCTGACAGGTGGAGGGGTTTCGCACCCCCACCTTTGGAGACGCCCCTGCGTGTAAGGTTTGTGTGGGCGCGCGGCCGGCGTTTTTTTTTTTTTAACCTAACCTTGCCATCCTATCGCTGCATTTGATGGGCTCAATAGGAACAACACGGCTTGCGCTATGGTGGAATGGAAAGCTAAGTCCTCTTGGATGGAAGGGTCACACGAACCATCCAAATCCAACGGGGTGTTCGTCAAGGTGGAGTCCTTTTTCCCACGCTATATACTCTGTTCGTCGATGGTCTGATCAAGAAGCTCAGAGACAGTCAGCTAGGATGCATGGCTAATGGCCGCTACTCCGGTGTCATTGTGCTTGCAGACGATATCGCCTTGATCAGCAACACACAATCACAGCTGCAAGAGGTGATCGCGGCAACCCAAGCTTACACAAGATAGTGGCGCTACAAAATCAATCCCGCCAAGAGTGCAGTTGTGGTGATGAATGCTCGTAAGTCGGACAGCCAACAGGAATGGACAATGGGTGACCTCACTATATCCCGTAAAGACTCTCGCGTTCATCTTGGGATCACAAAGTCATCATCTCAGACTGATCCGACTGATTGCATTATCTCAAAGGGTATTAATGCCCTCTCCTCTGAGTACGCCTTTGGAACATTTACTGCATCCCCAGGATGCTCTACGGAACATCTATATTATACCTCAATATAAAGTCGATGTTATCCAAACTAAACCGTGCACAGACCCATATATTCAAGCGTATCCTAGGCATTCTTGTCACAGCTGCTAATGAGAGTGTATCCCTCCTAACAGGCCTCGTACCAATCAGCCAACGAATTGGCCAAGAAAAGCTACTGCTGCTTGGTAAACTACTGGACCTCGACTCAACCAGATTCTAATGGCGAACCTTTCTTCATGCCCTCAGCATCGGCACTCCCTCAGTAATGCTTGGATTACATTTGGCCTGCGATTAGTCTACGGAGCCCGTATCCTGCTCGTATCCCCTTTTCCGTGCGGCCTCTATGCGGTGGCAGGAGGCGGCCGTGAGATTTCGTACGGATTCACGAGCTCCGCAGCCTTTACGATTTTGTTTCGCGAGAAGTTAAACAAATTTGAAAAAATCGTAAGCCCGTAGTCCGTATACATGTCGTAGGTGGCATTGCACAATCCCCGCACGGGCATCGCCCGGAGGCCTCGCACTGATTGTGCAGCAAACGTACGATGGGGGCAAAGAAAATCGTACGGAGATTGTAGACTCATGGGGCGTTCGCACGGCAATTGCACAGCTATCGCAAGGTTGCTGTACGGTCACCGCGCCTTCTCCGCGCAACCTTTGCACGGAAGCTGCACGGGCTCCGTATGATTTCCGTGCGGAGGCTGGGGAGACTGCACGGCTACTGCATGCAAATTGCAGGATTTCCGTACAATCTCCGAGCAGCCTCTGTACGGATTTGCCCCGGCCTGCCCCCGAGGGCCAATACAATAAATGGCACGATGCTCGTAGATAATGTAAACACAAACATCGTAGCCCGTAGCCTCCTACGATGTGTACGAAAAATCATAGACTAATTTATCGTACGGCGCCCAGGGCAAATGTAATCCAGGCATAAGAGGCCTGAAAGCCCGCCCCCCCCCCCCACTCAGTGTTATTTAGGGTACGCGTATGCTCATTCCCTCTTTTTGAAAGCAATCCTATCTGAGGACTGCCAACATTCCGAACCCCCCTTTCGCGGGCTTTTTCTGCCTTGGAGACCCCCCTAAATACGGAAAAATGCTCAATGTACCCCCCTTAATTCGGAATAGTTTCTCAGGAGTCCAAAGAGATGAGAGAAAAAAAGATAAACACCCCCTTTTTAAAGAAATCTCCGGGTGAAAAGTCAAATACACCCCCTTTTTTTTACAATTCTCGGGCCGGACTTTGTCGCACGAAAAGTACCCCTTTACCGGACATTTTGGTAAAACGCATGCGGTCATTCCGACCCGGAGTGGGGGGGGGGGGGGGGGGGGGGGGGGGGGGGGGGGGGGGGGGGGACCTGGCCTGAAAGGTATCCTGGCTATGTACAAGCTTCCAACCATTGAGGACCTTATTACAAATCCCATTCCCTACGTCTCCTGGAAGCGCAGAGTTAAGAACTCAATCTCTGCTGCAGTCGAGGAAGCTACACAGGAAGGAGCTGCCACCAAGTCGCCCCTCACATTCTCGCATGGAAAATCCATCAACCCAAGGAACCTCTACCCCAAATTGACCGTAATTGACCATAAGAACACAGCTCTTCACATCAACCTACCTCTTCCAAACCCGTCTCTCCAAGATTAAGAAAGCAACCAACACAAAGTGTCCTCTCTGCAATCGTGAGGAGGAAACCGTAGTTCACGCTGTGCCTGTCTGCTCGACTACTGTCAACCTACTGGAAGACCTTATCGACAGAGCCAGTAGACTCCTGCATAATGCCCTCGACTCTGCACCAAATACACCATTGATCAACAGCCAGGACCCCTCCCATCTGACTTGCGCTATTCTCTTGCCAT